TAGTGACCACGAATCCCTGTATGTTGTCAGAGTACAGTTTGTATAAAATTTATTCACACTAGCCGATTATCGGTCCAAAGATCTGGAAACTAGCACAATATGATGTTATCAGTCAATTTAAAAGATAGTGTACTCACTACCCAATCAAGCTCAGTTTAGGTTGATTTAAAATAAAAAAAAAAAAAAATATATATATATATTGACACAATATGAATGTATATATAAAAAAAACGTATGTGTCTTGTACTCTTAGTCAGTCGCAGTACAATAGTCGAACCTGTCTTTTAAAGAAAAAGCTTTCCCTGCTTGGTGCTGCACCAAACAGACAAAACTTTGAAGGCAGTGATTTTCTCAAGTGGGCGTCTATTGCACCCACCGAGTACTGTGTTACCTATCTGCCTTCGGACTGCCCGAGCTAGACCTACTAAAGTCCTCAGGGCAGTCACTTTTCCCAAAAACGTATTATGTCCAATCCACACCAATGAACCACGTTCTCTTTAATTTAGACTTAGTGTCGCGAATATCCGAGTTTGGACTTGTTTTGTATTAGTCTTGTTCTTATCGAAAGGCAAGTTACCAGCGCAGTCACTGATACCTATCCTGTGTATTAATAACCTAATACCTCTCGCTTTTTAGTTTTTCTTTCGTTCACCTAAGTCCTTAATAAAATGATACCCCTCCGGATTGGCACAAATAGGACCCTTCCGGACTGTCAGAATATAGACCCCTCCGGATTGGGACCCCTCCGAGTTAGTTAATAGTAGACCCCTCCGGATTTGGACCCCTCCGAATTAGCGACTATAAGACCCTTCCGGATTCGGACCCCTCCGGTTTTGTGGAAAGTAGACCCCTCCGGATTCGGACCACTCTGACTTCGGAGCCCTTAGCTCTGTCAAAGTAGCTTTTTGTAGTTTTCTTTATTTCAGCTTATACCCCTCCGGATACGTTCTGCGTTGCTCTTATGCTGTTTGAATTAACTGGGAAGGGTATAGGATCCTTTCCTAGACCCCTCCGGATTGAAGTTAAGGCACTTATTTGACAATTCACACTAACGGTGAAGGGTCTTATCACTTGCCTAATTTCGACTCTATTATGGTTGTCTTGTGCCTTCAGCCCTCCCTTTTTGTCTAGAACTGTCTTAAGTTACTTAGTTCAATCGCTATCAACTTTTGGTAGGGGTATAAGGGTTTTTTAGAAAAATTTATAAAACGTGAAGGGTGTACCCCTCCGGATTTGTGTAATTTGCTAAAAACAATCTGAAAAAATTTTCTCGCTCGCTTTTCCGAAAAATTTCTAATCCTATTAGTAAGCTCAGCTAATTTCTGATCTATTGGTACCAAGATCAACTCGATATGATCAGTAGTTCCAAAGTTATTAACCAAAACGTCTTTTTTCCGAACTCAAAAAATTTTCTCTCTTATAGGTTCCGCCTAACTTTTTCCGCAAATCTGGTCCTTTCGACCTAAAATTTATTGATCCGAGCTCAGAAGGCCTATACTCTTCTAGTTCAATGCAAAAGACCCGATCTAAAACGCTATTGTAGAAAAAATTTGCGAAAAACTATGCTACCTGGACCCCTCCGGATTGATGAATCCACCAAATCAAACACGTTATGTTCGATTTCTCTGCAACCCGGAAGGCTTTCGGGTAGCGGATTTTAAGACTTGTAGATTCACTAGTGGACGTTGTCCGAACAACTATTTTTACTGTCCTACCTCAAAAATTTCAAAAAATTTTCTAAATTTTTAGTGTTTCTTACTATCAAAAATTGGGAAAATTTGGTTTTTGGTACCAAACTAGTTCCAACCACTTCCGAACTAAAGTTAACCGGTTCTACTTGTTACAGTAGTGCAGTTACGATGTAACACACTAACTTAGCGCTTTTTTCCGTTTCAAAAAATATCGATATCTCAAAAATCGCGACTTGTGGGGGGATCAAAATATCGCTATTTTGACCCTAAAAACCGGTCTGTTTTCGTTGTTTTTCACTGAAAAATGATATAAGACTATTAATATAGGCTATATAAGTAATAATATTAGTAATACTATACCCCTCCGGGTTTGTTTAATCTCCGAATTAAGGTGCTTAACTCGGATATTCGCAGTTCGGTGAAGGGTCACTACAGTGCAGCACTGTCGAGCCCCCCACAGATTACTATCTTACTTTTTGTACCAAAAGGGATACAAAACTTGTTAACGATACCCAACAGTCGATTGTAGTTGTCGTTGAGCCTCTTCCTGTTGTTCCCTGTACTGCTTGCCGGATCGGTCTTCACCCCGGACCCTTCCGAATTGAGCGCAAATCAGCTGACCCTTCCGGATTGGGCGCAATTTATCATTAACGTGCTTAAATGCTCAAATAACCCTACAGTACAAGCCCCACAAACGGGCTACAAAAATGATCTTAACGATCCTGACTGATATAAATGCCTGTAACAACAATATATCTATCAACAACAAACGGGGGGGTTGAATCACATCTTGTCTGGGGGGATGATTTCTACTGATTTTTTACTTTTTTACTGTTTTTGGTTTTTTCGGTTATTTTTTATGTTTTTTGTTTTTCTTGGATACTATACTATTTTTTGTTTGGTTTTGCTTATATCTTTAAGTGTTTTTGGTCACAAACCACTCAGGGGATGAGGGGTTCGCGATTCCCCCCACCCTTCCTGGTTCGTGAATTTTCGGTCTGAACTAGGTTAAAAAGCTATTCACGGTAATCCGGAAGGCTTCCGCGTTCCGAACTACCCTTCCGCCCCGGCGGTTTTGGCCTATTAGGGGCGTTAATGTGAGCATCTGCTCGGCGCGGAGTACTCGTTAACGGTTCTGCCGGTCATGATGTTAAAAAAAAAAATCCACCCAGGAGCGCCATAAAAACATCAATGTAACATTCGCCCGGAAGATACATATCGACGGAAAATAAAGCTAAGTCCTAAGACGACTGGCCAACGTCTAAACAGAGCTCTACATGCTTTTCACCGTCTCTACCAAGCCAGTACTTTTCGGTGGTCTTTCTTACATCAGGCTGACAAAAACGTCACTGTTCTCCGGCTTCGACCAGAACGCTCAAATTAACTAGATTACATGCAAAAATAGTGAGCTCATGGCTGGGTCTCAGTATCCCCAGACCACGAGGTCACTCCTAAAAACAGGGCTACTACTTATTATATTACTATTGTTTTTGTTCAGTAGATAAAAATCATCATCTCCATCGAAGATGGATCAACCCTTTCCCCTCTACTTCTAGCTCCTCATTCTTGTCAAAACGAATTAAGATCTTAATTAAATTCAAGTCAGGACATGACGGATGCTAAAATTCAATATAAGTTCATAAAAGTCCACGTCCCGAGACCCTTCCGGATTCTTGAATCCGGTGAATCAAGCTTCTTAATATCCAGTTCACAATAACTCGGAAGGCTGGGTTTTACCCTTCACCGTTGCTCGCAACGGCCTTGCAACTATTGTAACAGCACAATAGTTGCAACTCGGAACGTCCTCTGCTGTTCGGTAGTTCGTTGTTGTTTTTTTTAGTCTCGATTTCGTACTGTTCGTAATCGCAGATAAAAGTTGTTCTGTTCCTTTCTGCTATTTTAGCTAAAATGGCCGTCTCTGACGTTTCTCAGAAATATGACGTCATAATTCGAATTTTTAAAAATTAGAATTCCAGAATCTTCTAGCCTTCACCGTTTGGCTAATCGTTCAAATAACGTCCTTATCCGTTCTAAATCGCCAACTCGGAAGGCTTGCTGCTAAAATACCGAATTCTGCAGAGACTGCATTTTGGCCATTCTGGTCGAATGTCACATTGCTGCAGAGCTCTGATTCAATGTCCGGTTGTAATCGGTGTCTGGTTTCGGCTAGTTTCCATGAGAAACCTGATCTAAGCTGACACAAAATTCTTCTGTCGTAACGGCTGAGTTCTTCTTCGTCTTTCGATATCTCAGGAGGGGGTCTTTTTAAAACTCTGTTCTGCTGGCTTTCTTGGCTCTCTCTTCGGGGCCGATGTATGCAGCCTGCTCGAGGTGGCCCTGCCGATCGACAACAGCCGACCGCCAACTGCTACAATGCGTTCACGCAACTCTCTCCCAAATCCAATCAAACTTAGATCTTATATATCGAAAATGTCAATCGAAAAAATTGTAAAATCGGAAAGTTAGTATAAGGAAACGCTAAGTAAGATTGAAAACCTCAAGAAGTTTAGGGAAAAGTAAAGATTACAAAATTCTTACGTCATAATGCTAAACTTACGTAATAACTTGATTTCATTTAGAACCTCTTAGTGGTCGTTTGTGATTTTTTAATGTCTGTTAACCATTTGAAATCAATTTTATTAACATGACGATAGACTTAGTTCCGAAAACGTTCGAATTCAAATTTTAATAATATTTTCTCCCTAATTTCACTTTGTTAATTTTTTTAGCTTATTTTTTTTTCGGTGTAATCATCTTAAAGTGAAGCGTATCGAAGCCAAAGCCTTTTATGCCCTAGTGGGATTCAGAGGGGGGTCGTAAAAACTTAAAAATTTTGTGACTACAGTTTTGTTTTCGGCTGAACGGGGTCCCCACTAATGACGGGATCCATCTTGTTTTCTTTAAATGGTTGTCTTCGAAAGGTTTCAAGCATGAGCAGTTCTTGAAAATCAAAGCGCTTTAACCTGATATATTTTTAGCTTTGAAAGCTGAAGAATGCCGAAAAATTTTCAATCCATTTTTCGGTTTCCTTGTTCTTGTAGACTTTTGATATGTTGACTATTTTAAAAATATTTTCAAAAAAATTGCGACTACCTTCTCTTCGCTATCTTATATTGCGATGTTTTTGTTGATTCGCAATCATTGCGAAGCTTCGCTTCACCCCTGTGTGTGAGTGTTTTTTTTTCAATCTGTTTTGCAAAGGACGTTGAGGTCTGCTTCGTATCTGGTGTTATTTAAAGTTAAGATGAAACACTGATATCCGCTTTTTAAATTGGACGAGTTTAGTAGTTTCTTGTCAGTCCTTTCAGAATGAATTCCCTGTGCCGAGTGAATGTTCTGCCTCGTATCAACCTGGTGAGCAGAGTAGCGATTGCTCAACGATGTGCCCCAGTCGCTGTTTCTTCTATTCAGCAGACCAATGCTATTCATACTACTGGAATTCGACGAGACATTGATTCTGCTGCAAAATATATCGGAGCAGGAGCTAGTGCAGCAGGTGTTGCTGGATCCGGAGCTGGAATCGGAAGCATTTTTGGATCAATGTTGATTGCTTACGCCCGTAACCCATCAATGAAGCAACAGCTATTCTCGTTCGCCATTCTGGGATTTGCACTTTCAGAGGCAATGGGTTTGTTCTGTCTGCTGGTTGCCTTCTTGATTCTGTTTGCACTGTAAATTGCTCGCAGAATGTGCCAGCCTTAATAGACTGTCGATGACATTAGAAACTAATGAACTAAACGTGACTTCACAACTCAATACCGATGCGACTTAAATATATAAATAACTTGAGTAAGATTTATGGTATACGTCAGAAGTTAATTCGCCTTCGAAAACGTTTCATTTTTTTTCATTATCAAATATATATTCCAGAAATTTGGCTGCAAAAATTTGCAGTTATTGATTAGATCTTTTTTCAGAAAAGTCATGAATACTGTATGTCGAGCATCAGTCTCGGTTCCGCGAATTGTCCTCTCGGGTCGAGTAGCGCTTGCACAGAAAAGTTTTTCTGTCATGGAAATCAGAGTGCAGCAATCTAAATCGATTCAGACTACTGTGATTCGACAAGACATCGACTCAGCGGCTAAGTACATTGGAGCTGGTGCTAGTGCAGCAGGTGTTGCTGGCTCCGGTGCTGGAATTGGGAGTATTTTTGGCTCCATGTTGATTGCCTATGCCCGTAACCCTTCAATGAAGCAGCAGCTTTTCTCATTCGCTATTCTGGGCTTTGCATTATCGGAGGCCATGGGACTTTTCTGCCTGCTAGTTGCATTTCTGATTTTGTTTGCATTGTAATGCCAACAAATAGATGATGTTTAATAAAGTTTAAAAATTCGCGATATCATTCGTTTTTGTTCCGACCATTTGCAAAATGGAGTAACTTTGTATTCGGGTGTTTTAGTTTTTTCTTTTTTTTTCACGCAAAATCAGGTACCACAAATAATCATTGGAATAGGTCAAGTGATATATCATAATAAAGCGTTTTCAATTGTGATTCGAACGTTTTAAAAAAACTTTGAAAAAAGTTTTTCAGAGTTGAGAAAAAACTAGTTTGAATTTTTTGATTTTTGGTTCAATTTCGAGCGAATAAAGGCGAGCGAGCAGGCTTACAATAGCTTGTTTATGCTTAAGTTAGGCTGCAAAAACTTATTTTTAGTCCAGTCAAATTAGTTTTTAGTGAAAGTTTGGGCTTCAAAAACTTCTAAAAATTTCTGCAAAAAAATTAAGATTTAAAATTTTTTATTAGGACGTTTTTTGTTCGTTTTTTTAGTAATTTTTTTTCAAAACTTTTGCAATTGGCATATTTTACTATGATTGTCGAATCTGCTTAAATTCTAATTTTGCGTTCAGATCATTGTATCAAACCACGCAGATTCAATTACAATAATGTGAAAAAACCGTTTTTTTTTTTGTATTTCTTTAGACTATGGTCAGAACATTGTGCTATTTGCCCAGTAACCGGTTATCCGTGTTATACATATGTAATTGTCACGAATTTCATGAAACTTTTAGCTTTATAAAAGCTTTGATGTTTTTATTGTAGATCAATGATGTCACCGAATTTTCGTTTTTTGTTAAACTTGCAGCGGTTTTTTTCCACGAGCGTCTCTAAACTGCCGGAGCACTGTATTTTTGTGAAAGTGAGGCCAAAGTACGAAGATGTGAGACGTTCCATTCCGAGCTCTGTTCATCTAGTTGACGTGGATGGAAAATACATGGGATTTCTCGAGTCTCTCACTGTGCGGAAAATTTTCGAACAAAGAGAGTTGGTTTGTTTGTTTGACTATTTAAAATCAGGAATTTACGTTCAGTTTTTTGAGAGCAGAAAAATCGTTCTTATAACTAAAAGTTTTGCTGCCTATACGTTTGAGCAAAAGCAGATTGGTTGTTTGGTCATAAAATTTTATTTTCTCCCCATACCAATTTTGGTGGAAAGGACTTTGGATTCAGGTCTTTTTGTACGCAAATCAGGTACTCGAAAGAAACACAGGGAGAAGATTCATCATAAAAAGCCTTCTAGCCGTTATTTGACCTGGAATGGAAATTCAACAAAAATGTCTCAGCGTCGAAAAAGACTTTAAGACATTTAGGATTTTAAGATGAATTTAGAGTGAAAAGTAAATGAAATTTGGTTTGGATATTTGAAGTAAATAGAATAACGTATCACATCTTTCCTTTCTCTAAAAAGTTAATAGTTTGATGAGTTTTTGATAAAATGAATGGTTTTCTGTGCTACGGAACAGCCTGCTGTTCTCTTAAGTTTTAGAAAGAGAAGTGATTTTCACTTACATATGTTGTGATGATTTGTTTTTAGTTTGTTTTTCGGAAAAAATTTCTTTAAAATTTGTTCTTTTTCATTTATTAAAGGAAGTCAAATTCCTCTTCCCAAGAGCAAAAGTGTAAAGGTCACGAAAAACATGTGTTGAAGCAAACAAAGCACGTTTTAAATGATAAGATTATTAGTTCACTTGTAAACTCAATTAAAAAAGCTTGTTAATTTTACCATATTTTATACATTTCATTTGTTCGCAGTTTTTAAGGTAATCATAATTGACTCAATTTTATTATGATAAAGTCGCTTTTTAGCTTCGCGAAGTTTTGAGTCTGCTCAGCCTCATAACTTAAAGAGACTAAACACAGTGGCAGAAACTACTACAGAAAGTCAAAGTCTACCAGCTGCGGAGAAGCTTAAACAAGCTCAAAGAAGTAGTGTGCGAGTTCTGAAACGGCAAGTTTCTCAAGCCAGTGACTTTTGTGCTAACCGCGGTCGCAACCAAAACGAAATGAGCAATGAAACAACCAAGCGTGAGCATTACTTGGCGCAATCCCCAATTATTGATCACAAGCTGCTTGACGCTATCCTTGATTTTGCAGAATATGATCACGTGTTTCTTCAGTGTAAGGAAACACAGAAGGCTAATCACTAAAGTTTTGAAGCCGGAAAAAAAATTCGCATCGAGTCAGCCTATCAACCCTTTTGCAACTTCACAGATCGAACTCCATATTGAATCCCAGAAGGCATGAGAAACTTATAACTATTGGAAAGAAAACAGAGTCAGGTGATTCAAGGGTCTCATTCTAGACCTCAGAAAGCTAGACCACATAGTCAAAAGGTTAAAACTGACAAGACACATCCAGAATGGCAGTGTGAAAAATACAGATCGGTGACACCATCAGAGCGAGAGAATTTTGCGACCAGCAACAAGATTTGCTTCAATTGCTTGTCACCAGTCATGACAACCAGCAACGTTCTCAAACATCACTCTGTAAGACATGTCAAAAGTAGGAGCATACAAATTTTCATGGCAGTTCTAGCCAACGTCACCTCACAGCGACAATAGATGCTCGTCAAATCAACAGAACTGGAGCCATCACTGACCTTCCCTCGTCAAAGCCGAGTTCAAAGTGGTTGATGTCATCACTTGAGGGCGCCCATTGACAATTGCGCTTAGACAAACGTCATCACCCTACAGACCATGCACCGGCTTGGTATCAAGTCAACAGAAGCTCCAGATCGCATAAATGGAGTGAACCAGAAGAATGCTGTCTTCCCATGGCCGAATGAATCTCACATTGATGAAATTTGTCATCTGGTTGGACAATCCTCCGTCTACACACACATTGTGAAGTCGCGGAACATCAAGGAAGGAACTGACATTAGGGGACACGATGCTTGGTTGGAGAGTAACAAGTGTTACTGATATCGACCCAGAAGTCACTACACGAAGAGACTCGCCGCGGTATGTAGTCAACGTCCATGACAGCCAGTCGTCAACATATGGCGGGTTCTGGGAAATTTAAGTTTTTCCCTCATCTCCAGCGTCCTAAATCTCATGCAACGAGCTTGATTACATCCGACATTTCGATCAGACTACGGCGTATTGCTCAGATGGACGAGCTTGGTTAGATTGTCCGTCAACAAATCACAGGGTCTCTTCTACGAAATTACTCATGAATGTTTGTCCGATATTGCTCAATCAATTTGCAAAGTTTTCCGCCTGCCCATATCTCATGAAAAAAAGCTATGAATCGTTGAGACAAAAACCAATGTAGTGATTTCTGGCTACAGATGCTTGACAATGACCGTATCGGGAAGGTGCCCGTGTTAGATCATTTTTTGTTGTTGGGGAACTACTTAATCATGCCACATCGTGCAGTGTGAAGTCGGATTCATAAATAACAGATAAAAGTCATTAAATGAGTGTCAGCTGTTTGGTGCCAAAAACCAGCCAGACCTCTTCAACGTCCTTTGCGATTCTGATTCTAAAAAATTGCATTATCTGGAGACATTACCAAGTTGTGCATGCAATTAGAACTACAATCCAAAAACAAATCTATATCAGCTCTACGCACTCAATGAATGAGAAACACCGAATGACTCTCGTCATATACGGTATAGCTTCGATTAGCTATCACGGCGTACGAGTGTTTTCAGATAGCGCCGACGAAACAGATGATGAACTGACAAAGCTTGCAATTCGTGAGTCTTTCTATGTGGATCACTGCATAGATGGTGCAGATACAGAGGAACAAGACATCAGAATGCTACACAGGATCAAGGACAATCTGACCACTCTGTGCTTGCACATTCGGAAGCGGGCAAGCAACAGAAAGATTGTCATGAACGGTATACGCGGTAAGCTGCATGAAATTAAACAATTATTCAGCAGAAATTGACCACATGTTCAAAACTCTTGGGCTCAGTTGGCATCCAGTTTCTGATTGTTTCCATTAGCCGTATATGTATAAATTGGATTCAGTTAGGCCCATAGACAGGCTCCATGGCACCGCAAATCTTATCTAGCCAGAGCCAAAGTCTCGAGTGTTATTCAGAAGCAGTTCCAGTGGCCAAAGTCAGCCATCCAGGAAGCAGGAGCTTCTGGAATCCAAGAACTGGTGCATTCCAACCGCAACAGTTGGCCGATGAATCGCCTTGGTTTTTGCCAAGAATCGAACTATTTAGGAAAAAGATTTTACGATGTCCCAAATCAATCTCTGGACAACTCCGGATGCTTAAAACTGCTGAAACAAATTGACCAAACCTTAACATATTGCCCGAATAACTCCACGCATGAACCAGAGTAGAAAAAAATGTTTCAAAGTTTCCTTATCGGTTCAGTCCAAAAACAGGACTTCACCCAGCATCCTCTGACCAGCTAAGAACAACTCATTGGCTGTGCTTAAAAGCATTCGTCCACCCAGATTATAGCAATCGTCATCGCCAAATGATAGAAAGAACCTTGGGACGAGTTTTTGATCCCCTTGGACTAGTAACCCCCTGTAAGGATAATGGCAAAGACTATATTCCAAAAAATAGGGGAATAGTTTTGGAATGGGTTGACTGTGTTGGGGCACATATCGTGAATCAATTTTAACTATCGTGAATCAATTTCAACACCGGATGGGCTGCCGAAGTCTTGTCTTCCCTGGCTGTACCTCAGTACTTGAACAAGGATAGCTTTCAGCAAGCTGATGTTCATCTCTTCTGCGATGCATCAGAGATGGCTAAGGGAGCAGTTATCGGAGCGAGGACAACTTCAGACGCAGTAACCCAGACTCCATTGGCAACCGGCTGGTCACGACTTGCACCAAGGAAGACTGTTTGCGTTCCAAGTCTTCGCCATATTTCAGTGGTTCTCGGCTGTAAACTCCTAAGATATGTATTGAGGTCATTAAAAACTTTGCAAATGGTGGTAGGTACTAGCGCCCGAATTGATTCAAGAAAAGAACATGCTTGGATCAGATCAACTTCAAAATCGGATATGATTAAGCTTGCTTATTTGTTGTCGGCCTAACTGCAACATCTTCAAATCGTTTGTGCTGCGCGTATTTTTCTGTAGTGTTGCTGTTAGTGTTTGATTTACTCCTACAATATATAATTTCACTTACCTTGGCTTCGTATTTCCTTTTTTGTTTTGCTAAATAAATTCTTTGGCTCAAATTATTTCACCCTGTTTTTTATCGGGTTGATGACCACTTTTTGGGTCATATCAAGGAAACACAAATTTAACGCTCTCGTCGCTTTTTTGAAGTTGCTATATGTTTACCAATCGGTTTGTTGAAACTTCTTATTTTAATGGAAGGTTATTTTCAAATTTATTAGAAAAATTATCTCAGGAATTTCTACTGATTTCAAAAAGGGTATCAAATAAAAGACCGCCTAATCCCCCGTAAGCATGCATACTCCCCTAGAGTCTTTTTTCACTTGACCCCCTCTTCTACAGCCTCGAAAAAATCTGTGGAGGATTATTTGACCCAAATTTTTGTGGGGAATTACTTGACCTATTTTTCTTTCGTTTTCTCAAAAGCTATTTGTCTTAAATCTGAGATTTTGGTTTCAAAGATTAGAATGGTTTTGAAAAGCTTTATGCATTTGCGGCTATGCCTATTTTTTTTCTACACATAAACTTACGGCACTCGGAATAGTCAAATTTTTGACTTTTGACCGTTTTGTGAATCATATTGATTTTTTTTGAAAACCAACCTCTCAAATCTGACATTGTGGGTTCAACGGAGATAAAGTGCACTGGGAAATTACCCTTCTTTAGCTGCCACTCACATTTTTTTTTTACAAATTGTTATTGCTCTCAGAAAAGATTTTTAACCGATTTTCAGAATGTTGAAAACTCCCCTGCCATATCTGAGATTTTGGGTTCAATTCAAAGAACGGGTTGTGGTGTGCTCATTTGCTTATGCGAAAATATGCAATTTTTTCTGACACCTTCAGTTATGGCCCTCGGAATTTTCGATTTTTTTGACTATTTGTTTT